CCCTTGATGTTCCCTATATCAACTCTTTTATTTATGTGTGTGCTGTATTTTTGTACAATGCTAAATAATTAATGCATCACTATACCACTGTGAATTGTTCCAATACACAATAATAAGATATTGCAGGTGTTAAATAAATAAAAACTCAATTAAGTGTTACATGAATCTAATAATCTTAATTAATAATTTAATTATTTTTTTCAATTTATCATAAAGGAATATTCTCACATAAAAATTGTCCTAAAAAGACCCTTGAAAGTTGAAACCAAGAAGACGATCTTGTCCACAAATGAAAGTCAAGCTCATGTTCTGAGAGATAAATCTGACCGTTAATAATGTCTCCCAGCTATTTCAACTAACGGAAGGGATCAAATGGGAATAGAGCTTCGCAGGCCCCAAGAAAGCTTGCGTCAAAGTTTCTTCAAAATTTCCCCAATTTATTTAAAAGAATTTCCTTTTGGTTTTTTGCTTCAAAATATTGTCCCTTTAGCAATGGGAAAAAATTGCGTGCGATAGCTCTCTAATCGTATTCTCTCGATGATAACAACTACCGATCAAAATCGGGTCTCTGTCATCGAGGATGTCCCACGACGACGTCGCTTATAGGTATTTGATTACTGGTTTTAACGCCTTTTCACTCTTAAATCCGTTCTAATTTGATCAAAATTCACTTATTTTGCTCCGTTTTATTAATTTGAATTCGTTCGATCTATCTTTGGTGGAATGTAGGGTTTTTTGTGATTCATATTCATTGTTTTTGTATTCATATTGGTTATTAGGGCAGATTTATTATTTTGTTTCATTCAAAATTGGGGCTATTTTTTATTCTATTTTGGGCTGGATTTAAGCGAGATTTAGCTTACAGAATCTCGCTAGATTTTAAATACTAATGCTCTGATAAGTTCAAATGGATTTTAGAATTAAAGAATCTAAACTATATCCTAAATCTGAATCAAATAGCCAAATATTTTTTTTAGTAAGATTTAAGAACACGCCAAACAATTTTCAGGTTTTGATCCTCTCAAGATTGACTGCTTCTGGATTTACAAGAGTACTAAATCTTACTTGTAGCCAACGGTCCTCAAACTTATATAGTTTTTTGGTTGTGGATTATGAGATTTTGTATTTTTTTATTTTACATGCATTTTATATTTAGATATTTTATTGGATTAGAAGGAATAGAATTGTTCCAAACTCTTTACCTTAAAGCATGCCTTTTAAAATTTGATTTGCGTGTACACCTTGTCTTGATTATTTTGAAATTGCATACTCCAAACTGTTGTTGAAGGCTCCGACATATCTTCACCAGTCCTATATGTGGATTGCAGTATGAATGACTGACATGCACACCAAAGTTTGAACAAGTCATATAATTGATACTAGAGGAAATAGATAAATCATTTAAAGTATTCCTAAAATTAGCATTTTCAATTTCTAAAATGTTTATCCTAGAATGTAAAGCATCATCATCATGATTGCAAGTAAATGAAGCATTTGATCGCAGACTATATAAGAAGCTTTTGTTTTTCATCTTGTAAACTCATAATTATGATATGGAAATAATCATGATCTTAAATTATAGAAATGCTAGAAAAAGTAATATATGAATGATTCATTTCATACTTCATGTTATAAAGAAAAAATATTTATCATGGATTTTTTTCATATAAGGCATAGTATTTTTTTCTTCTCAAAACATTAACTAAACTTTTAAAAGATTTACTTTCTCTTTTTATTAGAAAATATTTTCTTCAAATTTTCAAATTCAAGTTAATTCATCGAATCATTTAATATTTCATTATAAGAAACATCTCTTTATTGTACAAATTGATTGGGTGCATGATTAGCATTTAAATATAAAATTAATGATTTAATTATAAAGTTTTAATTGTCAAAATTTTCTATCAGTATTAGTTATTCTTTCTAAGGTGTATTAAATTTTTATGACAATTACCAGCTATTATACTTTATGGAAATAATAAATATCAATTAACCAAATAGAAAATAAATAATAAAAAACATAGATAAATCCATAATAATATAGAAATATATTTTAAAATAATTTAAAAAATGAAGTTGCTTTTAAGTTTGTGTTCTTCATTCTTCAAATCTTTGTAAATTTAGTTCACTCAATTTATAATGGAATCTATTTAAACATACACATCAAGCTATGCAGGCTTGGAATTTTGAACTTGCACTTAAGTTTTCTTGAATCGTGATCTCTTCTCCAAGTAGCAAGTTCTTTAAGTATGCCTGATGAAATCATTCTCATACTCATAATTTCTATGAATTTATTAACCAGAAAGTAAAATACTTAGCAGATAATTAGATGATGCCACACAAATTTATCATCATTCAATCATTCATGAGTTACATGTGAGTCATCTATGCTCATGGTTCAACATTTACAATTACATGAAAATAAAGGGAAAATTACATAAATAGCAACCAATCCTTAAGGATGTACCTATCTAGCACATAAAGTTTCATTTTTACACACAAAACACTTTACATATGGATGAAAAGATGGATTTGACTATTAAAATGTGATAATAAGTGCTAATTTTCATATGATGTTTGTAATTATGAAAATTTGGGTATGAGATAGGTAAATCTGAAAGTTTTGGGGCTATGCATGTAAAAGCCTCAAAAATAAAATACTGGTTACAAGATTATAATACTCAATATATTTGATCACGAGTCCACTCTCCATGCCTTATTGACTCTTTTTAGCTAATGGATGCCTCTAATTTTGAGCAAACTCCTCATGTTGATCATTACATTCTAACAACCTTGTAATGACTACATTGAAGCATTCATTTCCTAATCATTTTTCTTATATTTTCTAAATAAATTCATATATTATAAATTGATTATTTTATTACCCAATCATTGATTCTTCATTACCCAATAATTCATGGATCTAATAAAACGCATATTTATTATTTTCTTATGAGAAGAAGAGATTATTGAGAATGTAAATATTTTAAGGTCATTATAAGTGAGGATTAAAGTACTCAACATTGATTATTAGTTCAAAATTTTAAGATGATGAGTTGTAAAAGAAAGAGTAATAGGAATCATTATAATAGAATTAGATGAAGACGCCTAAAATGTACAAATAAAAATTTTTTTATGAGTAAACTTCAAGAATTCAAGATTTGAGATGTTCATGAAGAAACAAATTCTGTGGGATAGAGTAGCAATCACTATTAAGCAACTGATAAAAGATGTACACGGAGAATTAAAAGCTAAAGTTTCTATGAATAAAAATAGTTGGTGGTCGAATAATAATGTGCAAGAAAAGATAAACTATAAGAAATTATGTTATAAAAATTAATTTAAATGTAAACGTTTAGAGAACTGGAAAAAATATAAAATGACCCGCAGGGAGTCTAAAAAAACTATTTGTGACGCTAAAAATTCCGCCTTTAGTGATCTTTATAATAGATTGGATACTTAAGAGGGTTAAAAATGTATGTATAAACTCGTCAAACAAAGAGAAAAGAAAATTAACGATTTAACTAAAGTAAAGTGTATTAAAGATGAAAATCAAAAAGTATTTTTATTAGAAAAAAATATCAACGTAGCTGGGTGACTTATTTTGATAAACTTTTTAATGAAGTCTTTGGAAATAAGATCGACCGTAGTGATCTTGATATCGTAATAATAATAAAATGTTTCATTTTTTACCATCACGTTAGTAAAAAATTAAGTCGAGAAGGTGTTCAAGAAAACCAATGGTGGAAAGTTTGTAGGACCTGATGTATCCCAATTGAAGTGTGAAAATATTTAGGAGGTTTGAGAGTTTCTTGGCTTGCTAAACTCTTTGATATTATTTATGAACTAAAAAGATGCCTGAGGAGTGAAGGGAAATTATTTTGGTCATTATTTTTTAGAATAAAGGGATGCACAAGAGTTTGTAAATTATAGAGGAATTAAGTTGATGTGTCATGCTTTAAAATTATGGGAGAAAGTAATTGAAGATAAGTTAAAATGTGTTACAAAGATTTCTCATAACGAATTTGAATTTATGCCAGGTAGTTCTTCTATGGAAGCTATGCATTTATTGAGAGGTTTGATGGAGAAGTTCAGAGAGAATAAGGATGATGTACCTTGGTGTATGCTTTTTTCTGATGATATTCTTCTTATGGATAAGATTAGAGAAAAAGATCAGGAAAAACTTAAATTATGGATGTCTACATTGGAGTCTGCAGGCCTTCGTTTGAATAGAACTAAAACTGAATACATGGAATATAGTTTTAGTAGTATTAGGTTTAGTGATAGAGTTGTAACTATGGATAATCAAATTATTAAAAGGTGTGAACGCTTTAGATATCTCAGGTCTATTATTCAAAGTTATTGTGATATAGACGGGGATGTTATTAGTAGAGTAGAATTAAAGTTGGTTGGTTGAAGTGGAGAAATTATTCGGGCCTATTGTTGGATAGAAAAAGTATCGCTTAGACTGAAAGAAAAAATTTATAAGATGGTGGTGAGACCTGCAATGCTCTATGACTCTGATGTTGTTTTTTAAAAGAGAAGAATAAAACTAAGTTAAGTGTTGCCGAGATGAGAATGCATAGGTGGATGAGTGGCTTTACACTTGACAAAATGTTAAATAAATATATCTGTGATAGGGTTGGTGTAGCTCCAATGGCGGAGAAAATTAGAGAGAGTCGTCTTAGATAATTTGGTCATATAAACTTCAACAATCTGATGGTCCGATTAAGGAGTAGATGTTTTAGATTCAACTTATGTTGAGAAAATCAAAGGTAGATTTATAAATACATGAGCGTATTGTATAAAAAAATGATATTAATTTATTAGAATTGTTGAGAAAATCAAAGGTAGATTTATAAAGACATGAGCGTATTGTATAAGAAAATGATATTAATTTATTAGAATTAAATGAAAATGTGGCTTTCAATAGGATGCAATGGAGAAAAAGGATTCATGTAGCCGACCCCACTTACTGGGATAAAAGGCTTCTTGTTGTTGTAGCTAAATAAGGTCATCACACTATTGCTTATTCGGTCAACAATCTCCCTTTTTTTATGTTGTAAAACTTATGTTGGCTAATTGCATGGATGGAGATGAAAAATGTTATTTTGATAAAACAGTGATTTTGGGGTAACTCTTTGTAAAACAAAATTTCAATATACAAACTATTGTCTTTTTAAAACACAAAAATAAAGGTCAAATTATGGAGAGAAAACATATATAATAATTTAGAGCATTTATAACATACGATTAATCAAATCAGTGCTGTGGATCTATCATTTTAAGTTTTATTCGAGTTCACAAATATTATACTAGAACTCTGGTTAAGAAATGCCCCCAATTTCAAAATTTGTTCTAACAAATTTGATTTTAGCATATACACGAGGCAAATTATTTCTAATAAAGTGATGCATAATCTCTATGTATTTGCTTTGTGGATTTGGAATATGATTTTAGTTAAATTGATAGCGCTTGTGTTACCACAATTAGCTAAAATGTGTTCTAACTTAATATTATTATAATTTAGTTGTTGTTGTTTTAAGTAAAATACTTGTACAAACCAGTTGTCTGCAATGACATTTCACTTTTGTAGTGGATAAAGC